CCGCCGTCGCGGGCTACCGCAACGTGAGTAAGACATTTAAGCGTGTTAATCCTCGCAAGGCTGCTATCCCAGATGGCATCCCAAGCAGCGTCTCAGAGCATGTGCAGACCAGCTGACTGGAGTGTTTACGGACATATTCAATCTCTCCCTATACCAGTCTGTTGTTCCCCCTTGCTTCAAGATGTCCACCATTGTTCCTGTACTCAAGAAAGCAAAAGTAATTGAACTATCGCCCCGTAGCACTCACTTTTGTCATCATGAAGTGCTTTGAGAGGCTAGTTAACGATCATATCACCTCCACCTTACTCAACACCCTAGACCCACTGCAATTTGCATACCGCCCCAACAGATCCACAGATGACACAATCGCCATCGCACTGCACACTGCCCTATCTCATTTGGACAAGAGGAATACCTATGTAAGAACGCTGTTCATCGACCACAGCTCAGCCTTCAACATCTTAGTGACATCCAAGCTCATCACTAAGCTCTGGGCCCTGGGTCTGAACCCTACCCTGTGCAACTGGGTCCTGGACTTCCTGACGGGCCGACCCCAGATGGCGAAGGTAGGCAACAACACCTCTGCCACGCTGATCCTCAAAACGGGGCCCCACCAAGGTGTGTGCTTAGCCCCCTCCTGTACTCCCTGTTCACCCATGACTGCGTGGCCACGCACATCTCCAACTCAATCATCAAGTTTGCAGACAACACAAGAGTGGTAGGCCTGATTACCAACAACGACAAGACAGCCTACAGGGAGGAGGTGAAGGCTCTGGTGGCATGGTGCCAGGAAAATAACCTCAACATCAACAAAACGAAGGAGCTGATCGTGGACTTCACATCGACGAGGCTGCGGTGGAGAGGGTGAAAAGCTTCAAGTTCCTCAGCGTGCACATCACTGACAACCTGAAATGATCCAACCACACAGACAGTGTGGTGAAGAAGGTGCGCGACAGCGCCTCTTCAACCTCAGGTGGTTGTTCGATGAAGCGAAGCTTTGAACGTCATTGATCACGTGCTTCTGATAAAGTGATACAGGCATCAGCACACTGCTTTGAAGTAAACTGTTTAGTGATTTCGACGCATTGCTCAGAGTTCCGGCATCAAACGTAACATCACTACAGCAAAGTGATGACAATGGATTGTGAGAAGGTTTATGGCAAGGTTGCCCGTAGCCACTGGTACCTGTTCCCCTTTTCCCATGGCGCGCCTGTGTTGGCCAGAAATAAGAATATCGATTGAAACTTAATACATTGATTGAATGCCTATGTGCTAATGAAACTCAGAGGATGATTTCACCTGTTGTGCTTGTGTCCAGCAGCGTCAGCAGTGACTGTACGGAGCGCTAGGTGCTGAAGATGGTGTCCATGTGAAGCTTTCATTGAGTTGCTTGAGTAATTGAGATTATTAATAAAATGTATATTTTTGTATATTTCTGGCCTGATCATTCTCATACTCCACTCCCTGATGTAAAGAACCTGTGTATTTTAGATTAGCCCCGAGGACCTCACCTCGCCTATAAAAAAGGTGGCGTAGTACGGCTACAAGAATAGTTATTTATAGTTAAATCGACCAAGTTAAATTTACTCACAGTGTAACCTGACAATTTACCACAGGCCTTTGGCATAAGAGAGAAAAAATTAAGGAAATTACCATAATATTACCATAAAACTAGGATTTTGGAAATATTCAATCTTCGTCATGCTTTATAGAATTTCCTTGTTTTAGACTTGTGTTGAGTGGTCGACTAGGGCAACCTCAACAGTTTGCTTGCGTGACTAATCTTCTCACCATTTGGCCTTGACACTGGTCATGTTCCCCTGCTCAGACGTTGCATGTATCGACCAATGGTTGGGTGCCACGTCATCGACTGTGTCATCGACTGACAGATTGCTATAACATATGATGTGGTTAGCTGATATGTAAAATACCTATCCAGGCGTTGTAAGAACTGGCATGCATCAGCAACGCTTGGGCAGAGGAACACACCCATTCTCCTCTTGCCGTCTTCCTCAGACTAATTTGTATTCCTCATCAGGTCTTTGTTTCACCAGAAGGCAAGCCATAGGGTTCAAACATAGAGCTTATCAGTAGCCAACTCTGCCTGCTTGTGAATGCGTGACCAATCTCCAAATCCCAGCAAACACACACACAAACACAAATCCCCACCAAACTTTCCCCAAAACTTGGCAAGGAAAGCTATGCAAATGAGGTCCACAGTCAAGACACTGCACGTGGATAATTGGCATTCATAACTTCCGACAACACCAGAATAACTAGCTGGTAGAACGCTACCAGCCGTTCTTCTTGTCTTTTATCTATTTCACCGGATAAACACAGCAGAACGCGGTGGTTTGTGATCAGCCGCCGGTGGTGATGGGTAATCTGATCCCAGCAGGTACGACACCAACACGAACCATGCATGAACAATACTTTCAAAGAGATCCATCTCTCGCCTGGTGACTCTTAGTTTATTTCAGTCCATCCAATCAGAGACAGGAGCTAGGGAATGGGGTGCTGCTTCTTCCTAAATCCTCCCTTAGGGAAAACAATGATCCAGCTCTGATTACGGGATTCCAGGATTCCCCAGGGCCAGGAATAATCCTTCCTGCTTTTTTTTCCATCGGAGAGGGGGCATCCTGGGCTTATCAGTGGCACCATGCCCAATGATAGCCCACAGAACTGTATGATAAGGCTCCTGTCTCTCACTGTCATTCTGCATCAATACCAGGACCCTACCTGCAGACTGCTAGTGCTTTTATGGCATAAACCAGAAAGACAGCTCTTTGGATATACAATATGCACCAGCAATGTTTTTTATCTTCCAGCGCAGTGCAATCTGTTTGTGTTCATCTCATGATTGATAAATTATTATGGAAATAGATAGTGAGGATGGTGAAATTAAATCTGAAACAGGTATCCACTGTCTTCTCACCCAGGAATAACAACAGTAGAGATGTGATTCTTGTGATAATTTTCTGTTTCTATAAACTGTGCTCACAGTTTAATTAATTGATGTACATGACCTATATATGAATGTGTGTGCAGTCCATATATAGTCACCTTAGCCTTGACAGCCTGCTTTACTGGTTCAGCTGGCATTATATTCAGACAGTAAACTGCCTTGATTAACTGCAGGGTTCAAAAGTCTTTAAGTCAAATACATTTATTTTTACTTCTCTGTTTTGGTTTGAGGGGGAGGAGGTGGGAGTGGGGGGTTAAGGGGGTATATTTAAAGCTGAATGAGGCACTCAATTTGTGGGTCAAATTGTCAAATGTGTCGCATTACCCGAAGAATTCCACTAACGCCGGTACCCGGGGACCTTTGAGCTTTGACACACACAGTTAGCGAATGAAAATAACCAAAACCGAAGTTTGATTTAAACATGCATTGTGTAGGCCTATAGAAAGCTGAATAGTACAGTAAAGCGGTGTCAAGTGTCTTACAGGTCTCCAATGGCATTTGAGATAATGGATAACTTCAATGACAGCAGGACACAGTCTGAGATTTAGACTAATGCTCTTGGACCTGAGCCAAATACCAGATCCACGTTTGTAACTCAGTGCATGTCTCTCTATACCTCCTGCAAAGAGGGTGACTTTTGACGTTGATAATGACCTACTCCTAGTTCTATGTGTGCTTAGGGTTGAAGGAAAAACTAACCACAACCATCCAGTAGATTAGAAATTGACTCATACATGTGTTAGATCCAAGACTGTCTATGTTCAATTCTACAGACCCATCAAAAATGTGCAAATGAAATTAGTATTGAAAAAGTCAATGGAAATTGAATTATGGTGCCAAACAAGTGTGTTAAAGGAAAAATCCACTCAAAAACTAAATATATTTATGTATTTTTTTATTAGTCCATTGTTGATACATTCCCAAAATCTTTAAAAGAAAATGAATGTTTACAAAGAAAGTCCCCTACCCTCTCCAACATTTACATTTTAGTCATTTAGCAGACGCTCTTATCCAGAGCGACTTACAGTAAGTGCATACATATATATTTTTTCATACCCTGTGGGGGTACCGGACACCCCTGCAGCCCCCGCAAGTTGGGGGGCCCACGAGCTCTGGGGGCCAATGTGCCTGTCTGACATCGATGTCTATAATTTTTTTATTTTATAAATCATTTTGACAGTAACCCTCCAAAAAGTCATTCATAAACCTTTTTCATTTCCATTTACTAGGAACCCAAGTATTTGTTTCTTGGGATTCAAAAATGTGACTGATCAAAGTGCCTCAGGCCTTGAAAAAAAATAGTCTAATTGAACTGATTGAAATTAAGGGGATATCGGTGAACAAATATCTTGGTCAAGGCTACGACGGCGCCAGTGCAATGGGTGGAGCTTACGCAGGTGTTCAAAAGCGCATATCAGACCGAGAGCGTAATGCTTCTTAGGTAGTTCTTTATGAGTTTTAGTTTAGAAAAAGATCTCTCTGCAGAAGCAACAGTTACAGGGATGGTTAGCTGTGGACAAAAATGGCATTCTCGCACCCTCTGCGCAATCAAGGTTAGTTATCGCCCGGGCCGGAGTACTGAAATGACAGGGGCAGCTGAAGGGGGTGGATGATATGGTGGGCGCGGAGCGGGAGGGTATGGAAGGAGGGGGGCTAGGGGTGAAACTTAGTAAGTGTGGCTGTGGTGCTTCCCAGTCTGTGTGGGCTAGGGGTTGGTTTCAGCCACCTGCTCCCTCCCCTCTTGTCACCACACTCCTCAGATCCTCAGTGCTGTCCCCTGGACAAATACACACGTTTTTACTGCTCTGCTACACTTCACTTGGCCAGCACTTCCAGGGCGGATATCCAACAACATTTATTATCTGAAAGACGTTAAGTGAGAATGTCCACGGCCTCTGCTGACTGTCCCAGCTCTTCCCAAAGATGCTTAGCAGCCAAACCTACTGGTCTAGGTGGTTCCGTAGCTAAGGCTTCCGGGTAATGCTGTTGGACGTCTTGTCATCTAGACATTGGGAATCCTGCTGAAGAAGCATCAATGGGAGCCAAGCAGTCCAAGGAGGAGGAGATGAAGAGGCAGGCAAGGAAGAGTGCCGGTCGTGAGGACAGCTTGACGTCAGTGGAGCGGATCCGCAACCACACGTACAAACAGTGGGGCTACAGCATGCTCAGCCTGGCCCGCCGCGGCCTCAAGGAACCCCCCGAGGAACTGTGGCATGTGACGGAGCTTGAGAAGCTCAATCTGTCATTGAACTGCCTGCAGGCTCTGCCCCCCGCCCTTAGCATCCTCAGCAACCTGGTGGTCCTCAACCTGTGGGGGAACCAGCTGACCAGCCTGCCCCCAGAGATCGGCCAACTCAGACACCTCCGTGTCCTGTTCTGCTACCGCAACCGGCTGACCGAGGTACCAGAGGAGCTGGGCAACTGCACCAGGCTGGAGGTCCTCAGCCTGGCCAACAACCAGATATCTGGCCTCCCCGCCTCCTTCGCCAGCCTGACCTGCTTGCGCAAGCTCAACCTCAGCCACAACAAAATCGTTCACATCCCCGGTTGCGTCTACACCATGAAGAGTCTGGTCTTCCTCCACCTGGCCTGCAACAGGCTGGAGTGCATCGCCGAGAGCATCGCGGCACTGGTGGAGCTCAAGATCCTCATCGTGGAGGGGAACGAAATCCACTCACTGCCCAAGATGATCTGCTGCCTGACGCGCCTGGAGCTGCTCAACGTGGACTTCAACGACATCCAGAATGTGCCCCAAGAGATGCACCAGCTCAGCAGGCTGGAGAAGCTGGCCTGCCACCCTTTGGATAAGGGGCTCCACATCATGCAGAACCCCTTGCAGAAACAAATCAAAGAAGTGCTGGAAGGAGGCCTCACCGCCCTGTTTAATTATCTCAAATCTAATTGAGACTGCTCCACAGAAGAAGGGAAAATTCCTGGTCTTGATCAGTGTGCATTTCATCTGCGGACCCACTTTTGGTCTCCATAAGGGAACTAAAGTACTTCCATTGTTGCTGCTCATGAGTAGGATAAGATGCTGTGATCATCAACATGCATGAGAAAAGGATGAGAAAAAGCTTAAATTGTGTTTTAAAAAAAAAAATTCTGTAGATAACAAGACGATGCAAATGACTCTGCAACTGTGATTTTGCAAAAATGATTAGGCTACTAATTGAATGACTGTAGTCCTGATTCTAATGGTTCTTATGTAGAGTTATACCTAGCAACTCTATTTGTATAAATTGGGACATATTATCATTATAAACTTAAAGCAACTTACAAGTGAGTGAAACGCTCAATGGGGCTAAACACATTGTATGGAAATAGACTTGGACTGTTGGGAGGCAGGGTTAGAGGAAATAGTCTAACATGTAGCGGAGTTCTGACGTCAGAATCCTCACACTCTCTACCAGAGGAGTCCAGAGAAGAGAAGAGGTCATGTTTCAGGTCCCGAGTGAGAACACCTAACAAAGCTATCCTCTTTGTTCTTAACAAACCTTGTTTGTTTTGTCTTGCTGTTGGGGGAGCGAGCCGGGAAATTTCTCTGACCTGCTGCATAGAACTTGCTGAGCCCAGTTGACCTCCACTCCCCCCAACCTCTCATTTAGCTATCTAAACTATCCTTCCAGGATCAAGATCGGGATGCTTCCATTACATCAACAAAAAGGTCAGCCTTGAGCCCAGCTGTGTTTGCTGCTGTAGTTACCGACCACTTCGTTTAAGAGCTACAAGCAAAACGCTGTTGCCAGGCTCCAACTCCAGCCAGCTCGAAGGATCACATGCTATACTGCACACAGTCAATAGACCTACAGTCTTAATCATGGCTATTGGATTGACATTTGGATTGGAGTAGCATTTAAGTTTTTGAATGTAGCACCTCATTGCACCAGAAGGTAGCATTTCAAAAACCAACCGAATGATGTGTTAAGTACTGCCTGACTGTACAGTAAGCCATTTTAAAATGTAATCTTATTCCTTAGGATTGCCTATTGGTGTGTTAGTTTGAGGGGCAAATGTGCTCATGACTATTTTATCTAAATGTTCTTATGTCCTTATAAACTGAGGTGTAAATAAATACAAGATATTTATCCCCAAAAAAACTTTGCCTCAAATATTTCTGTGAACTCAGAACCGTCACACAACACAAAATGGTTCATGGAAAATTTCATGTGTGTTTCAGAAACTTTGTATCAACATCATAGACATTCAACCTGTACTTTTTGTGACTGCATCTCAGACAATCCATATAAAAACATCACACAAGCACATTAACATTCTGACGCATATAGAGAATGTCTAATGCAAGCTTGTAAAAGTAATTTCCCTGAGATGTACTATTTATAATGACTATGTGGTTTGGGCATTGAGGTGAGTCACTGTGATTGCTGCAGGGTGGTACATTGAGTTACAGTGACCTCTGCTGACATGGCTCGTCTGGTGCGGTTGTTTGTTTTGAACGCAATTTAGATATGGACATGAGTAAGGATTTTCTGTCAACCCGAATGACACCTCTACAACACTTATCAAACATTGCCAGCCAATCTTCATCGAGCAGTGGCCATTAATCTGAATTGCACACTGATAGAAAGAAAAGTTTGTCAAAGTAGAAGTTTTAATACTATCCACCTCCACTCAAATGCTGAGTTCTAGAGTTCCATTTGGCTAGTAAATCAGACTTGGCAAACCAAAGCCTGTTGCGTCCACTGTAAACGAGACCCAAACCCCTCAATTACCATATACACACACTTCTGCCAAAAACAGGGAAGTCTTCAGGTTGAGGTAATGAGTGATTGATGAGCACTGTGTTCTGCCAAGACCTACATGAGTGTGGTCTCCTTTTGGAATGGGCTGGACCTGTGTGGTTTTTATGGTAGTAAAAACGCACACAGATACTTTTACAGCAGACTAGATCTGTCAGACTCTCTCGCTCTCCCTCTCAGACACATGCGCACACACCCAACGTTAAAAACAAACATGGACACCCACACGCAGGGTTTGTCCGCCAAATGACAGAAATACCATTCACTGCTAACTATGGATGAATGGTCTGGCAGCAAAAAGAAATGCATTTGTGTGTGTGTGTGTTAGCAGGTGTTGTGTCTGTGTTGTTTTCTTACTGGAAAGACAACTTAATCAGTGTTAGATATTAGTCCCTGAAATGTTCCTCCTAAACCTATTTTTTCCCATAATCCCCTCCGTCTTTTTGTCAATAACGTCTTGCTGGACAATCTGTGACCCTCACCACCCCTGTTGCCACTGTTACACATACAGCTACAGTATCACACATTGGAGACAAGTCCAAACACATCCACTAGTGTACTGCACTGGATGACTTCATCTTCATGCCATGGGATGTGTTGGATGAAACTCTCACAACCTCCAAACACCTTTGCGACACCCCCTCTGCTCTCTAAAGAAAATAAAAGTCTGAATTAGACAGTGTGTGGTACAAGCTCGGACAAATGCACATTCCTCTCTGTCTCCTCCTCCTCAGGCCTCGTGTCCTCCAGCCCATGAGCAAATAATGAATGGGTTCCATTGTGTTCCGGCTCTTATCTAGGGGCCTTTCGCAAGGTTAAACGGACAGTCCCATCCCAGTCCGGGTGATTGCAGCACACTCAAGTCCTTCTTGTAGGGCAGTACCCTTTGTCCTGCTCCCTCCTCGGTAGCCTGCATCTGTGTCCTAGCTTTTCCCCTGGGATGTAGCTCGTATTGTTTCCGGGGGGGGGGGGGGGGGGTGAGAGAGGGGGGAGCGGGGGGGGGGGCAGTTATCTATGTTCTCTCCCTGGGTGAAGAGAGAAGGAGAAAGATGCTCCTGGCTCGCTCTCTTTCGTCCCTCTCTCTTTCTTCCCCTCTCTCTCTCTCCCTCACTATCTCTTCCAAGTTCTCTTACTCCTGTTCTCTCAGGCCGCTGATTAAACCACTTTATCTTGGTCACCCTGTGTTCCATTGTCCTGAAGGAGCAGACCTGTTTAGTGTTGAGGTAACCTATCCTCTTGTCCTTCTTTTACTCTCTCTTTCTTCCGGCTCATTCCATGCTTTGTGTCCAGTTCCAATGCCATGCCAGCACCCATTTGTTATTACATTTAGGACTATTAGAAGTCTAAGGTTACTATGCAGTAAAGAGACTGCATGCTTGAGTTGGTTTAATGTCTGGTTTGGGTAATCAAAACGGCATAACATAAAAGCTGCAACACTCACTGTTAATTTAATTTTGTGATGTATAACTTAATTTATTTATCCACTTTTTCCTGGATACGGCATCTCAGCAAGTTTTTTAATTTGCTAGAGACTATTCCAAATCATAGAAAACATATTTTATGTCTTGTAATTGCACAAATATTATCAATATATCTTATTAAGGGGTATCCCTCTCATCCTTTACATTAGCTGGCTATGTGTCTTGCATATAAATTAATCCTAGCACAGCAGACTAAGTGACACAAAAGGTGAGAACTACACTCCCTTGTGGTAGAGTTTCGTATGGACAGAATTCACTCAATTTGGTTGCCATGGAGAACCCAGAACATTTCAAACATTGCCCTTACAAATCAGCACCCTCATCCATCCATGTTTTCAGGCTCCCCTGAAAGATTGGAGCCATTATCAGTTCACACAGACACAGGCACACAAACGCACATCTATCTGTCTATAACAACTTAATCCTATCCTATCGCTGTACAGTATCTCCTTTCAAAAGTTTTCAACCATCAAGACATGTTGTAATCTTTCTGCTATTGCGAGTAAAATTGATTTCATCTTGTCTGCATATGTACACACTAACTTGCATGGAAAGAGTATAAGCAAGGCAAAACTGAAACTAATCCTAGTGGGACGATATCTCTTTCAGGAATTGTATCTGTTTTTTCTGGAACTCACATTCAGCTGGCTGGACACCCTGACCTTTTCTTCGGTCAATGTATTACATGTCTGGGCAAAACTATGCCACTGTGAGCAATTCACTTACCAGGAAATTCATCACTTATTTGGTTTTGGTCGCGCAAGATGAGCTGTGAATCCTATATGGTAGGTAGTCAGATGATGGTGGGATACAAAAGAGAGCAAGAAAATGTCAGTGGCAGGGGCTGAGGATTTCACTGGACAGTCAGGTGACTACACCAACATCAGCACTAACATCAGGGTTGGGTTCATTATGCACCAAATGGAGAGAAAAAACAGACTGAAACAAGAGGGAGGAACTACCTACCTGAATTTGTCCAATAAGAAATGTTTATCTTAATGTTCTCTTGCAAAATGTTTATAATCGTGTTGCATGCCCTAATGAAGACGATCTAGGGTTGTGTTCAGTATGGCACACAGTAGCTAAATGTTTTGCAAAATTATTTTAAATATGTGTTCTTATTGGGCAAGATCGGGTAGTAACGTTTCACTCAGTTTCAAACCTGCTGAACAAGACCTCAAATAATCTGGAGGGCTAACAACACTGTATAGGTCCTGATAGTATCACCATGAACAACATATTTTATCTCACTGTGGTTTTACATTTACGTCATTTAGCAGACGCTCTTATCCAGAGCGACTTACAGTTAGTGAGTGCATACATTATTATTATAAAAAAAATTTCATACTGGCCACCCATGGGAATCGAACCCACAACCATGGCGTTGCAAACGCCATGCTCTACCAACTGAGCTACATCCCTGCCGGCCATTCCCTCCCCTACCCTGGACGACGCTGGGCCAATTGTGCGCCGCTCCATGGGCCTCCCGGTCGCGGCCGGGTACGACAGAGCCTGGATGATAAGGAAGCACTGTTATGTCACCCTGACATTCAGATATTTTACCTTGACGGTCAGTTTTCCACTGTATCCACGAATTTTACAGATATCAATGTAGGAATCCACCGTGATGAAATTGTCTGAAAATGATAGTTCATCCCACCTTTTTG